TGTCCAAGCACTTCTGCACAGGGACTACTCCAAGTGCTTAAGATCAGGAGTTCACCAGGTGAGATCTGACTACTCAAATGAGTCAAGCGTGGACCACACCTAAAAGCCCTTTACAAGCACACCTGTTATTCAACATTGATCAAACAGCAGATTTTCACCAGACTTGTGATCATTCTTTCCATTTGAGATAAGGCTACAGCATTGGAAGAGGCTGCAAGGCAGGGTTCATATAAGCAAAACAGACACAACATTTTAACTTTGTGCAAATTCCAGTTCACACTGATAAACTCAGTAGGCTCAATTTATAAAAGCAGCACACTTCCCCTATTCGTAACGCAGATGTGTTCTGCCAGACCTCCTTTGGGAATGGTCTAGTTTTTCTTTACAATAAGAAGTAGTTACAATGTTACAAACCTGGCATCAAAAGACATATTTTGTCTACTGAAGTCAGTGGAATCACATCCAAGACAAGTACCATCCTTTAAAATTCCTGTATAAAGTTGGGCTTGAACACACAAGCTACATATGCAGGCTGCATTACTCATGTCTCACAGAAAGCCAAACCAATGCCCCCTTATTTTCCTATCATACTTAAAAGGACTGGAAACTAATGCCAAAGTAAAAAACTGTGAGACTTTTCCCTCGCATTTTTACTTCTTCATCTTCCAGACATGGAAAACAACCATTTAGTTCAATCCTATATTTGCATCTTCTGATATTATTGAAGCTCTCATGTTCCTGCGTGTTATGTCTCTGGACTGACACCAATCCTGGCCTATTTTGGGGGAATAATAATAATAAAAACAAAACAAAACAAAACCAAACAAGCAAACAAAAAAAACCAAAACAAAACAAAAAAAAAAAAAAAAACCCACGGCTGGAAAGAACCCCTTTGGGTTTACCTTTAATAGTGCCAGCTGACCCAGAGCTGGCACCAAAACACTAGGTGAGTGTGACATACTGACCAGTCATAGCAGTTAGGCCTTCATCTGCAACAGCAATTGGCTCTGTGTGCAACCTAGAAGAAACCACTTCTGCATCAGCAAGTGGACTCTCATCTGTTCTGCTGGTTGTCACTGGCCATTCGTGCACACAGAGCATATGCCATCTGTGCCTGTAGGCTGCACTGGGCACGGGCATCGGGGTGCTGCTGCTGCTGAGCATCCGCAAGCCCTATTCCCAGCTCCAGCCAACCGACCTCCGCATTGCTCAGGCTACGGAGGAAGCGCGAGTTACAGCACGTGAACGGGCAAAGCTCAGCCTTTGCCTTTCAGCAAGTCCCACCCAACAGCATACCTTTATTGTTCTCCGACCCCGGCTGCTGCCTCCCGCTCTGCTCCTCCTCGGCAGGCGGCACCGAGCACCGACCCCACGAGGCCGGAGCTGGGAGAGACCGTTCCTAGATCAGCTCCAGCGGAGGGCGGGACGAGGCCGGGCAGAGGCGACTGGCGTGGGCGCTCGCGATGCCCCGGCAGTACCGCGACCACGACACCGGCCGACGCGGGCGCCCAAGGCAGAGCGGGCCGCGCTCGGAAACCACGACAAGGGACATACCCGCGCCTCGTTCACACGAGTTTGCGTTCAACGCTCCGCGGGGCCGGCGGCGGCAGACGCGGAGCCAGGGCTGCCCCGGAGCCGCGGGTACGGAGGGAGCGCAACCGAGCCTCACGCCGCACCCGCCTGCGGGGCCCCGCGCTCCTCTCGGGGCCATGCCATCCCGCCCCCGGGGCTCAACACTCACCTGGACGCGGAGCTTTCGCCATTTCAGGGCTGCCTGCTTGCAGCCAAGCCGTTTTTAGCCGCGTCAGGTGCTCGCTCGCGGGGCGCTCCGGGCGCGCCCGCACTCCGCCGCCCCATCAGCTCTGCGGAGGCCCCGCGCCGCCCCCTCGCCTGCGGCGCTGAGAGACGCGGCCGAGACACGCCGCCGCCCGGTGCCGCCCGCCGCTGAAGGCGCAGCCGCCGTCGCTAAAGGCGCAGCGAGCGGTTCGGGGGAGAGCGGGAGCCGGACCGGGCCAGCGCGGGGATGTGGCTGCGCTTCAAGTGCGGCCGCGGGGTGCGGGCAGCGTCAGGGCCCGGGGACCTTGGGACGGGGGCTCCCCCTACCCTCGGCCCCCACGACGCGCCTGCCGGGAAGGGGTCGGGGCTCCCTTGCCGTCTTAGCTCCCCTCGGAGCTGCGGGCGGGCAGAGGAGCTGGACCGGCTACCCGGTGCTGTTCCGCACCGTCCCCGACTCCCGTCCCAAGCTGCGCCACGGTGCCGGCGCCGCACAGCTCGGCCACTGCTGCGGCACTGCCCCTGCAAGCTGCTCCTTCAAGTGGTTGCTCTGGAATTTAATAGCAAATATCCTTCAGTTGTTGCCAAGCCTCATGTCAGTGCAGTGGTTGAACTGCTGCAAGGCGCTGCCTTTTAAGTCAGTCATAGGCAAGCGGCTTACAGCCTGCTGAGAGCTGGACTAGGGAACTTAAGAGGGCGAGACTCGATTCCTCCCTCTTCGAGAGCCCCAGAAGCAGCATATCTCTAAAAGTAAAGAGGCCAGCTTCTCCAGATCCCCCAAGGATTGGAAGAAATTCACCTTAAGAAACGTCTTAAGTTGCAGCCCGTTTTGTGGGAACGATGGGAAAAGGCTGGCAGAGAGCCTAGGAAGGCTTGTATCTTACTAGTGTGTCAGAGCACCACCTAGTACAGTGCAGTGAACAAAAGTTTGGCCCAGAGAAGCCCAGTTAAAGAGCCAAACAAACATAATGCAACCAAGTCCTAAAGCAACTTACAGGCTCAGTGCCGATACCAACTTGGTAGCTAAAAAGATAAACACGATTCACTCGGGGTGTTGCTAAGCGTTCGTTTAAGGAGCCAGAGCAGATACCCTTGAGAACACAGCAAGTTAAGTGGTTTTGTTTGAGCCTTAAGTGGAATAGCCACAATGCCCAACAGTTCCTACCCCCAAGCCACCATACAAACTATGGCTCATCTTCCCCCAGCTCTGGGTGACAGTGCTACTGCTGGACAGTTGCCCGTTGAGCCACATTGCCTCTGCTGTTGGACTTGAAGTCCTGTCTAGAAGATTTGATAAGGATGGCTTTCCCAAACGTGCAATGGTGTCACTAAGACACTAAAGAAAGCAATTCTAGAGAAAGAGCATAGGTATATAGAATCATAAAATGCACTGAGTTGGAAGAGACTCATCAGGATCATCAAGTCCAACTCCTGGCCCTGCACAGGGCACCCCAATAATCCCACCATGTGCCTGACACCAGTGTCCAAACACTCCTTGAACTCAGATAGGCTTGGTGCTGTGAACACTGCCCTGGGAAGCCTGTTCCAGTGCTTGACCAGCCTCTGGGGGAAGAACATTTCCCTGATAACTGATCTAAATCTTTCCTGACTCAGCTTCATGTAATTTCCTTGACTGGTGGCAGTCCTGGCTAGGGGAGAATGTCTGAAAGGCAGAGATGTGTTTGGACAAGTACAGTAAGTTCCCTGCTCTATGCTGCTTCCAACTGCACCAGCTCAGTACAAGCAGCTTCTGTCTTGTACAGATGTGACCTGCCCACCATGCTCAGAGATTCTTCATTAAACCCTTTTCAATTTACATCACAAAGAGCAAGGACTGCACACTACAAGATACATCCCAACTACTGTATTGAGATAATATTCAGCCTAAATGGCTCTTCTGCACTGGACTAGAGGCAGTGACTGAAAAAAAAAAAAAGTCTTTCCGTTGGCACAGCTGCCTGAGCAGGCAGTTACCTGCAGCCTCTGAAGGCAGTAAGCACCACAATGCCTCCCTCCAGAGGAAAAGGTTTATTTCCATTGTCCTGAATACTGAAAGCAGACAACTGCCAGTCCTTGACAACATATAGATCCAGAAATCTTTTCTTTCTCCTAAAGACTTGCAAAATCTTCACAGATTCCAACAAAATTGTGTCCTTTCAGTACACAAATGCACAGCTTTTTTTCATGCATTACAGAGGACTCATAGAATTTCTTCAAAAGTCATAGCCAAATAATAATGTAAGAAAAATATACTAAGCCAGGTAATGGCCTGAACTGGAATGCATTTAAAGATATTTATATGTCCAAGAACCTATTGAGAAAATAATCTAATTCCAAACACATTTTATTCTTAATTGAAAACACATGCTGTATTACTGGTGACTCAAGTTCTCTTCCTTACAATGGAGCAGAGAAACTTCTCTCAAGACAAAGCCTCTTTCAAAGGATGCTCCCCATCATTACTAGCTTTTCTGGTGTTGCAAGATGTCCAGTTATAGAAATCAAACTTTGTACAAAACATTCTGAAAAAGATCAACAAAACAGGTAGCCAATGCCTTGAGGAAGTGTAGAGCCACCCAAGGATGGGAGCTCAGAGAAAAATTATACCAACTGACACTAGTGCCCCCTTGAAAACATCTGCTTACCTGATGATCCAAACCTGCTCAAACTGAGCAGGGAGAGTTGCTCTAACTGCACACGTCAGGGCCTAAGCACCAAAGCTGAAGGCTGCTCGTTTGGTTAATATTTCCAGGACGGAATTCAAGGCTGGCTTCTGTAGTGTTATGTCTGCTGACACCAGGTTCAACCTGATTTAAGCAGCCTTCAGAGTGAAAACAGGATATTGCCAAGTAAGAAAAATGGAAGATCTGTCCTCTAGAGCCAATACTGTTTGTCTAAAGTCAGAAGATAATTGCTTATTTCAAGAAAGGGTGATGCGAGTGTGGTTTCATCAGCAGATATGGGACTCAAGGAAAGCAGTTGATGAGGGCTCAGTGACAGGCAGAACCTTTTATATCCTCCTTGAAATCACCACAGAACTTGAAAGGCAGCCTTAAGGAGCAGACACCACATTGAGTCAGAGAAAACAGCAGGCAATGGAGCAGCTCCCAGCCAAGTGTTGCACGTCAGCCACCCACTAGAAATGGGTTGCACTACGCTGTTTTACTTGGACAGACTGAGAAATTCTCTGGCAGTAGATACACCTGCTTTGTGGCTGCTCATGCCAGTGAAACAGCCAAAGAAGCTATCCAGGATCCAAGAATAAGCCTTGAGATGGCAACTCTTGGTAACATAAATTCAAATAGTTTGAAAGACCTTTCTGCACTGTTTATACATCAGTCAACTGCCAAAATAAAAAAGAAATAGGATATGTCACAGCCCAGCATTTCGGAAAAGCGCAGCATTCTGCAAAAAATGGAAGGGAACAAAATCATAATCCACAGAGGCATAAGAGGACAGCAATGGATCAGCAACTGGTCCTAACAAAGACTTCCTGATATTCCCAGGTAACAGGGAATTGTCTGGCAGGCAGGCACATTGCTTGGTGAGGAGGCTGTGATGTTGCCAGGTTGCTGTTACCTCTAGTTAATCCCAGGTACAAGAAAGACTGCACTGACTGACACCAGGAATACTCAGCTTTGCAGCTGAAGCTGGATTCATGGCTCTAAAAAGCCCACAGCAGACACAAGGCAACCATAAAAATGCTTGGGCGAGGCAATGAAAATTTTCCTTAACAGTATCCCAGGTCTGTACAGAAGCAAAGTCTAACTGATGGCCCAGACAGCTGTCAATAGCTGCAGGAACAAGAGCTGAGAGAGGCTTAGTCCTCAACTGCTCAGTCCCCTCATCTGTCGCTTCATTGTCTCCAAACTCAAAGATGCTTCTTCCTCCTGCCTCAAGTTTTGTTAAGAGCCAGAGGTTCTCCAATGAAAGGTCTGGCAGAGCAGGAGCAGAATACAACTGATCAGTTACGTCAGGGCCTTCTGAAATTGCAGGCAAGGGGCAATGGTACTTGCGGGTTTAATTCCAGTGCTCTCCAGTGTTGGTAGCTACATGAGGAGGAAGGCATAAGGTATAAAAACAGACGGAAAGAAAGTTCATAAGAATTAAAATCACAGGATTTCAGAAGGATTTCATAAGTAATTAAATTGTACCTAGTATTTGTTACCACACTGCAGAACCACCAATTAAGACTATTTTCTCTGTTCTGTTTACAATTCTTTAATAAAAGAGATAGATTTGCTGAGCACAAGGCAGAGAGCTTCCAGATTCAGATGGGAGACAGCAATACAGCTCACAAAAACTTCTTGGTACGAATGAGAGTGCATTAAAGGTGTGCTGTAGACCCTACAGGAAAGTTCCCACATTCAAATATGCCCATATAACCATACCTTTGCATACCTGGTAGTGCTGCAGAAAGGTTACTCCCTATCCACTCCAAATACCATCCTAAGTACAGGGATCTTAACAATTTTTAGAAGACAAGTTGCAGAGTTAAAAAAACCCAAAACAAACACACAAACAAACCACCAAAAAACCAAACAAGTGTTCAGAAATTCTTGAATCAAAATTTCAAGGAGTAGTATGAAATTGTGGCAGCTGTAGATTTTTAGATTTTTATGCTGTAACTTTAGATCCATTTTGGGAGTTTTTTTGTCACATCTTGACATGGAGGGGAGGAAGCTGGAAAAGCAGGGCAATGTCTTAATTTTCAAACTGTCAGAATACAGATCATGTTTGTCAAGCTTTCTACTCTCAAAAATCAGGACAGGACAGTGACAGAACACCACCACACTGAGAGGGAAAGGAAGAAGCAAGGAAACCTAAAGACACAATTTTTATCTAGATTGCTGCAGACACACAGAAGAAGCCTAAGTTAATCAGCATCTACCAAAACCAAAAGCCCAAAACTGCCATGCTTACATACTGATTTGCTTATACTAATATCTTTCTGATTAAATATCTCATTCTTTCAGTAAGGAATAGCTTAGATCTTGTCCTCTCTTGCTACCCCCTCCCCCCCCAATTTAACCCACTGTTAAAGAAGTAACCCAGACTGTTCAATCTCTAATATTACTGATATTTTGCTCTCCTTTATTGAGTCCATTCTGATTATTCCATTAAGAAGAGAGGAAAACGGTAATAAAATTGTGGGGTCTCTCCATTTCGGGGGATAAGGATAGGGCATTTATTCTTTCCATGTGGAAAAGTCT